CTTTTGTCTTAATAACGTCAATCCAGGCGCCTTACAGTCGATTTCGCCTCTAACTTGGCGGATCGCCAGGTTTGAGTCGCCACAGATCACCAATCGCAGCGGATCCGTTCCTTCCAGCAAATCAAGACATAACAAGAGGCCGTGATACTCAGCCTCATTGACAGTCAGACCCTTAGCATAACCGGATCTGGCCTTCACCACAGTCCTCTCAGGTAACTTCCACAGGATCGCGCTGTAGGCGTCTCCACCTCGCTTGACACGGGCGGATCCGTCAAAGCTAGCGACATATAGATCCTCATCCGATCTCACTGTCGGTATCGGGGCTTGAATCTTGCGCCTCGGTTCCTTCTTCGGGGCGATCGAGATCAGTGCTTTGTCAACCTCGGATCTGGGTGTGATACTGGCTGCTAATGTGCCCAGGATCTCGTCCTCGCCCTTGTTACACTTGACGATCTCGAGGATACAGGGTGACAGTAGTGCGGCCCACTGTCCCAGGCGACCTTGTAATGCATTGGATTTAAACAACCAAGCCGGTGTGGAGTGTCGCATCAGCACTCGGATCGGTGTCCCAACCAAAGTATTATAGTTGAGATCCAGGATCCGCAACAAGACTAACACTTCTTTCTCGGCGATCCCATAGTTTAATTCGTTGGATTTCAACGTACGGCTCGCGAACATCACTGGATAGTAAACCTGATCCTATTCTTCCATCAATGCACCGGAGATTTGCCGATCAGGAGATGTCTGAACTTCCAGATCCGCTGGTGGAGTCGGTCGATCTCTTCAGGCGTCTGATTGTCGGATCCGCACAATTGGATATCCTCGATCCTCACATCTTCCGTCGTTGCTGGGACTTCAGGCAGTACCGCTAGTTGTCCGTCGACGTCTTCAGCGTAGAGATAGCTGCCTCCGTGGTAATACACACATTCGTCGTAATCCTGATCCGAGTCCCAGGTAAGGTCCAGATCCGCTGGGTCCGGTTGATCTTCCAAAACAGCTGCAGGATCCTCGTCCCTTTTCTGTGACATAGACGTGGCGTCC